CGTGCAAATATAGTATTACTATGGGCAACAAGGTCGAAAGATGAGAAGTAGATAGGAGGTAGTGCCTTGGTTATGCATTTATAGAATGTGATACCTAAGTTGTAATTGAGGAGCTCTGAAATGGTCGAAATGTTGTTACCATGAAGTAGGCATTTACCGTTAGAAAAACGTTAACTGTTAGTAATGATTATTATGGATTGGTTTTGTAGTACTTGAAGGGAAGCCAAATGAGTGTTACAGGTGTTACCCTAGCAGATTATGTCATAATTAATATGAGAATGAACGAATGAATAGTAGAGTGACAGTAGAGTGGAACGTGTGAAGTATGGACGAGTTTTAATCAGAGTGCGGATGCTGTATGCTATTTTCTTTTTGATGTGAGAAATATGATCTATGTATTTCAATCTAGAGTCAAGAGAGATTCCGAGAAAAGCGCAGGGACTGGAAAAAATAGAGTGCGAGCCAAAAGTCAACGAAGGAAAGGATGCTGAATATTTTTGATGCATTGAAAATACTACAAATTTAGTCTTGGTTGCGTTGGTAGTTAAACAGTTAGCACTGCACCAACTTGAAACATTTTTCAAGTCAGTGCTTAGCTTGTCGACGAGAAGTGAAATGCTTTTGTCAGAAGAAATATGATAGTGTCATCAGCACACAAAATGGAATTAGTAAAGGACAGACAGTTAGGAAGATCATTCATATAAATTAAAAACAGGAGCGGTCCTAAAATGGATCCTTGAGGGACACCAATATTAGTAGATAATTCCTTAGAATATACATTAGAAATGGACACAAGTTGAACGCGGTTATGCAGGTAGCTTTTAGTAACGCTAAAGCAGGACCACATACACCGATCGCTTCAAGTTTAGTAAAGAGAATAATGTGATTTAAACTGTCAAATGCTTTTGTTAGATCGATGAATACTGATCCTGCAAATAAACCTTTGTCAATGAATTTTTTTAGTTGATCAGTTAGATGAATGAGTGCTAGATCAGTAGAGAAATGATTGCAAAAGCCAAACTGACAAGGGGACAGAATATTGAATTTATCAAGGTAATTAGTTAGGCATACTCCAATCAACTTCTCAAGAACTTTACCAAAAAAGGGCAGAATGCAAATGGGTCGGTAATTATTAATCAATGTCCTATCACCTTTTTTATGAGCTGGGATAATTTTACCGCATTTAAGCTCTTTAGGAAATACGCCCGTCTTGAATATCAAATTCGCAATGAAACACAATATATCAGAAATTAGGGGCGAAATGAGTTTGATATCAGCAGGCAGGACTTCATCAATTCTTGCACCGGTGGATTTGAGGTGTTTTATGACATTATGTATTTCTTCAGGAGTAGTGGGAAAGAGAAAAAACGAATGAGGGAGGCGTCTAAGTGGTGTGATTTGTGTGGGACAGGGTGCGTCAGCGCTAAAAAAGTAGGAACAGAAAGCGTCAGCTATGTCGATAGGCAAGTTAAATTCAATGTTGTCGATTACGATTCTGGATACTTGGTAGCAAGAATTCCTGTTTAGAAAGCAGTTTACAATGTCCCATTTTTGTTTAGCATTATTACCTGCTCGCGATATTTTTTCTTCTAGAAAAGAATGTTTTGCAGCTTTTAAGTGCTTGTTTACAGCGTTACGTAATTTTTTGTAGCGGGTAATTAACTTAGTATTACACGGCTGACTTTTAGTTTTTTTGTAGAGGTTGTCGCGTTTACGTAAAGCAGCTAATAGCCTTTGAGACATCCACGGATTATGAGAAAATGCTAATATTTTTTTACATTTCATTTTGCAAGTAAATTTTTGGATATGCAATAAAATTTTTAAAAAATTTAGAAAATGCTTTTTGGGGATCATTACAAGATGTAACCTCGGTTCAACCTAAGTCCTCTATGGCAGTTGTGAAACTCTCTTTATCCAGGACATATTCCGAATGAGGAAGAGTGCAAGGACGTAATTGTTGATTGAAGCGTATGAGCAAAGGATAATGATCACTAATGTCACTGTCGAGAACTTTCACCTGCGGAGATATTAGCGAGTTGGAGAAAGCATGATCTATCAGGGTCCCAGCACCGCTGGGAACTTGCCGTGTAGGAACATCATTTAAGGACTCAAATCCATAGCTTTGCAGTAGACTAGTGTAACTAATAACAGGTGAAGTGTAATTGAGTAAGTTAATGTTGATGTCACCCATTAAAATGGCAGTTTTATTCTCAAGGGAAATGATGTGTAGGACATTTTCAAGATTAGAAAAAAAATCTTCGACTGAGGATGAGGGAGATTGGTAAATGCAGCCAAATATGAGATATTTCTGATCGAGAGCAATTAGTGATTTCAATCCAAACTGATTCGCAATTAGTTACAGGCAAGTGCAAATCATGTCTTCTCCTATAAGAAAGATCAGGAGATATAAAAATGGCCGCACCACCATGACTGCTAGTCGTTCTGTTACAGTATTCTGAGTTATAATTTGGGAAGCAATAGAGATTTCTGTCAGCAACTGATAACCATGTTTCCGTTATGGCAATAAGTGAAAAAGAGTTACTATATGAAGAAAGGAGATCATGGATTTCATTGAAGTGTTTACACAGGCTCCTAGCATTGAAATGAATGATAGAATTATATCCACTTATAAATGAGTTAACATAATCTGGTTCTATAAGAGCATCCATGTTGATGCGAGAAAAAATGATGCAATGATCACATTGTGAGGGCTTAGTCTATTTTTGTCAAATCGACGTCATTGCGAATGCGCAGGACTCTGCTATTAGTAGTCTTTCTAGCTTTAATTTGACAGTTGTCTATCCAGAGAAATATCCAGTTCTTTTACTTTTTTTATTGTTAAGGCTTTGGAAAAGAGGACCTTGTTGCTTGGAGTCAAATGATCATTGATAAAGACAGGGGCGTTAGTACCACCAGTGATACCAAGATCACTAGCACAGAGCTTCACCTTACGTGCTTTAGTGATGTAGTCAGATTTCTTAGTCCGAGAGCAGAAGCCCGCAATAGTGCTTATTTTATCTTTAGCAAAGTGTTGGCACACAATGCATAATGTCGAGATCAGCAGGCAATATGGGACAGCCAGCCTTCTCCCCTATCATTTTCATGATTGCACTGCAGTCTTCCCCCTGGGAGCAGGGAACGCCCTTGATCTCCACATTGCTCATGCGCTAGTATTGCTCCAGTTCCTCAACCTTGCGGCTGAGGGAGTCATTCTGGGTTTTTAGTTGTTTATTCTCATTTACCAATGTGACATTTTGGTTACGTAGGTCCTCGACAAGTTCGTTCAAGTGCTCTGCACTCAATTGTAAGGATACAACTTCTATTTTTAGTTCAGCAACATCTATGCACGATTCTTGCAGCCTGAGTAAGAACCTGCCGAAGACCTTTTCAGATGTGTCTTTAGCCAAGCTGTTAATTTTAGCCTCAAGGTCTTCAATCTTTTTTGAGAGTTCAGCATTAGTTGGCATGACAAATACTCTTGATAAAAAACAAAACAATTGCAGACACAGAAAAAATAAAATGCAAATCAGAACGCAATTTTTGGCAGCAGCTGCAGTTGAAAAAAAAAAAGAAGCTATACAGAAAAGAGCTTGAAAGAATACCTGCAAGAACAGGGAACTCTGCTTAATTTGTAGCTCGTGCAATGCCACTGCTGCCAGTGAAGAGCCGGTGCTGGTGCTGGCAAATTTATAGGGCTTGCTCTCAGGGCAGTGACCTCCAGCGGCGAAATGGTCGAATGCTAGCAGCAGGCCACAAAGTGACCGCGCAGTTGCAGCTTCACCACGTGTGGATGATCCAGCACCTTCCAAGGGCAATGCGACGATGAAGCACGTCGAAGATAACCGCCAACGAAGCAGCCGGGACGGGCAAAGAAACGGGTGGTCAGGATAACTGCAAGAACAGAGAACTCTGCTTAATTTGTAGCTCGTGCAATGCCACTGCTGCCAGTGAAGAGCCGGTGCTGGTGCTGGCAAATTTATAGGGCTTGCTCTCAGGGCAGTGACCTCCAGCGGCGAAATGGTCGAATGCTAGCAGCAGGCCACAAAGTGACCGCGCAGTTGCAGCTTCACTACGTGTGGATGATCCAGCACCTTCCAAGGGCAATGCGACGATGAAGCACAACGAAGATAACCGCTGACGAAGCAGCCGGGACGGGCAAAGAAACAGTTGGTCAGGATAACTGCAAGAACAGGAAACTCTGCTTAATTTGTAGCTCGTGCAATGCCACTGCTGCCAGTGAAGAGCCGGTGCTGGTGCTGGCAAACTTATAGGGCTTGCTCTCAGGGCAGTGACCTCCAGCGGCGAAATCGTCGAATGCTAGCAGCAGGCCACAAAGTGACCACGCAGTTGCAGCTTCACCACGTGTGGATGATCCAGCACCTTCCAAGGGCAATGCGACGATGAAGCACGTCGAAGATAACCGCCAACGAAGCAGCCGGGACGGGCAAAGAAACGGGTGGTCAGGATAACTGCAAGAACAGAGAACTCTGCTTAATTTGTAGCTCGTGCAATGCCACTGCTGCCAGTCCAAATTTGCGTTAAGCAAAAACAGGTCAATGCCCTATCACGTAAAATTTTTTTTTGTCGTGCTAGTAGTGTTTTTCTGAAATAGAACTTTTGGTTCCATGTACACTTTAAATGTGCTCATAAACATAAAAATAAAAAACCAGACAAAAATAACGACTGGACACACATGTTTGATCACTCGTGGAATCACCCACAGGTCATGTTATGGGTCGCCATAGATTGCCGTAAGGCAATCTATGGCGACCCATAACACAATGAACATGTTAATTTGCACACAAAGCATAGTACAGAAATAATGCGTTCCTTTTAGAACCACACTAACGTAGCTACTGTGGTCTGGCATCAGACAAGTAACCTCTAAGCAAGAGAGTCTTGGCTCAGTTAGGATCTGTTCAGATTCCTGTTATTTTGCATGAAAATGACCTGCAGACACACAGAGGAGTGTGTTTTTGAAAGATTTGAATCTTGCATACCTGGAATGGTGCAACTCTCATCTGCAGAGCTTCAAAGCTTGCCTTCCATCTGCAAACAGAAGCAGTAATACTCAATGGCTGCAAATATAACACAATTTCCATAATACTACATAAAAACATGTTATCAGTAGTAGCTTTACATAACAAATATTCAACACAGCTATTCCACATAAATATTTGTAGTATATCACAAAGATTCATAATGCAGAAATTGAGCATCTTAGCACTTGCTGATATGCACAGGTCCTGTAGTTTGTGTCTGCTACGTTTCCCCTCAATCTCAGCCATGATTTTACCTTCTCCCACTTTTTTGTTCAAGCCTCAGGTATAACTAAATATAGACTGAACACGAATTAATCAACAGAAGCAAGATCCCAGTAATATTACCATAAATTTTCATTATTATCGATTTGCAGGGTTGAGTAAGAGGATGAACCGACTGACCTCTCAGCATCTGCTGCCATTGAGTTGAGCTGCTCAGTTAGGTTGCTTATTTGCCTGAAAAAAAGAAAGAGATGCAAGTGACGGTTCTTACACACTTTGCCCATGAAACGTGCAAGAAAGCAAGTGGGTTCCACGCTTTCAATGCAAAAATTTACTGCAAAGAGTGGAGATCAAAAAACAAAAAGTAAAAGATTGTGTGTGAGGATGTGCTAACACATTGACAAAAATGCCATGCACACTGACACACGCACACATACACAAAGGAGCATGAGTAGCTTAGACATTCAGCTGACTAGACGATGGTAAGTAGCATGACCTTCACTTTTGCAGCACATAACACGCAAATACCTTGCGTGAATATCCCAATTTGAAGAAAGAATATTCTCTAAAGACAGCCACGATGATAGCCTAGACACCATCATCTCGTGAAATTCTTGGGCCACTTGCATCCTGAGCAGCACAAAAAATATATCTCTCATTAGCTACTCAAGACTTGCCTGGTACATGTCAAGTGCGAACAGCCTTTGTATATGAAAGAATTTTTTTTAATTTACAGGTGACTAGACATGTTTTATGCACCAATGCAACAGCTGGTCTACCAGTGCTGCTTCTAGTGAAGTGCCTTTAAAAAAATTTTCATGGTATGGGTACTCTTTGCCATGCAGTGACAATTGTCCAGACAAGCTTTTCTGTAGTGTGCCTACACCTGAATGCAAGCACAATGACTGTAAACAAATATGAAGACTAAATTTTGCTTTTAACACCAATTGCCAGCATTAATTATTTCAAAGGACTATGAGGGAACACATTGTACATAAAAAGAAGTTTTTATGTAACATTGTATGTAAAGTTTTGAACAGCACACATTATTGATGTATATGTACGTGGCTCAAACTATACAAGAAACACCTTTGCAATGGATTTTCAGCGTTAGCTTTCACATTTTGCTACCTTTCAGGCGTCAGCACACTTATCTGCCACACGTGGAAGACGAGGGCACCCAATGTGTTCCATGTAATTGGGGGCATTCGACTAATCTAATATCTGAATTTTGCCTCTGTGCCATTGGTCTGCGCTGAACTGCATTAATTGCCTTCAACAAAGTGGGCAGAACAAACCTATGAGCTCCTTGTGGGAATCGCGTTTTCTCGCATGATCACTGGAATGCAGGCAGTCTTTCTAGTTTCCATCGGTTGGAAAACAGAACGTTTTGACTAGTATTTAAGAGCTCAGCAGTATATTATGTTGCCCCTGAGAAAGATTTCGTTACTGCGAGTACAAGGAGGATTGTACAAGCATAGGGAATAGGCGCAGGAAATGTTTTTCGAGATGGAGGGTCTGCGTGGTGTGCAGCGCTGCAGTATTCACAAAATGTGATCGCCACGGTCTATTGTACGAATTAGCAAGCTTGTTTGGAGGGTGTTAAAAAAAAAGGTCTGAGCCTGTTTACAGGCCCTTAAATTAGTTTCATTCTCATATGCCTCAGCAATAACCCACTCTTCCCTCTCCTGTGTTATTTGGCTGCTTAAAGTCGTACACTTTAGATGTGACAAACAACTTGAACAACTCGAATGCAGCCAGAACCAGTTCCCAACTGCTATAATGTTGCCACTTTGCTAAATATGCAGCTTTAGTGGTCTACAAACTTCAGGGGAGCAGATTTTCTGAAAGCCTACAAATGCAAATTAAGTGAGCTAATTAGTAATTTAAGTGAGAATAAATTAAGTGAGCTAAATAATAAAACTAATAAACAAGCTGAGAGATGCTGTTCTCAGTCACCTTGAGACTATAAGAGCACTAGCAAGAAAATAAGCTAAGAGCAGGAACTTTTTTCAATAGTAGACGTGCGTTTTAATATTTATTTTATTGGTTGGGTGAACTGAATGAAATTTAATAGGCTTATTCAGTTTTTTTTTTAGGTAGACAATTTATTATATGCATTAGAATAAAGTATACACAATTTCTAAAATATCTATATAGCATATTTCTTACAGAGCATTTTGGAAATTTCCCTTAGTCTAGCACAACAAAGTATGTGGCAAGATTGCCAAAGAGCTGGTCTAGTTGATAATGCTAACTTCATGGTTTTCAACAAACTTTGAATGCAAAATAAGCACATGCAAACACGAGTGAAAAAACTTTTGCTGCATACTATTTACAGCTGTTGAGAATTAGAATCTGGTGAACAACATAAGAAAATAGCATGAACTGGAAGACCACCTATCTGGATATCTTGCCACATACTTCGTTTGTGTTTTACAAAGCAAAGCTGTCAAAAAGCTCCCTAGAAAATATGCAAAATTCATTTTAGAAATTGCATATCTTTTGTCTGCATATCTGCTTAGAGATTTGAACTCTGCCGAAAAAGTAACAAGCAGATTAAATTTCCATTCACCCAAGTGCTAAAAAAGCATTTTTTTAAGACCCACATCTCTTGTTAAGTACTCGTCTATATTTTGTGAACACTTATGGTGGCAAGGGTGGTTGAGGGAGGCAAGTTACATACATGATAGTCTATTGGATTTTAACGTATACCCACCTACAAAGGACTTGTGTGAATGCGATATCTTGCTCACTGTACAAACCTAATTCAATCTAAGTACTTTTGTAGATTCTAACGAGCATTGGACATTTCCCCTGCCATGTTAGTTACACTCCTTCATTCTTGCTGTTTCCATGCTGTTAAACATTAGCAAAATCAAATATTCTAATTTATTTGATAACACGGGCCATGCAAATTTGACAAGAACATCTGAAGACGCAAGCTTGACCACTAATAAAGCAACATTTGAATGTACCAATGCAGATGTCCAAAGCAATGCATGCATAATTTCAACACATTTTGGAGTAGAATGTCAGTGATTTGTGTACTGAATGCATTCTTTGCCTGTGTATTGGGAACTTAGGGCAAGCACGCACAATTGGTAAGTTGTCAGTAAAAAATAACATAGTGGTATATGATCAATGACAATCACAGACCAGAAGGGGACAGCACAATAAAGAAACACTGACACTTCTAGCAACTCTCAAATGCATGCAACAGCACAGCAATGTGTTTACATTTTCATCAATTATCTACCTTAACTAGAATAAAAATGAGCGATGAGGAGGATCAGTCACCACATTAGCACACCTATACATGAGAGTGAGACCTCGACGGTCTATTTGTACTCTAAACCTGATTCAGTTATTACATCTAAGACCATCTAAATCACAGCATCATAAATATTAACAAAATTTACCGAGGACGAGTTCTATACATATGAAACTTTTTTTTTCTATCAAAGTTATTTTTTTACATGCATTACAAGTGCAAAAGCTGTTCCTAAGGACATCCATCAAGGCATGCTAGGCAAATGCGCCAATCCACAAGCAAAGATTAGGGTTGCCACATGCTCGCTTTTAGACTAACCCAGCCATTTTTTTCTTGACAGTGGCTTGGTTGCCAGTCCGCACCTAAGACAAACCACCATTGGCTGTTTTCTTTTACCATCATATCACAATAATATATATATACTTTGCATTTTACAATGCAAATCCAACAACTGCAACTATCAATTGTTGTCAATCCCCAGGACTTGCCCTATTTGTCAACTAGATTATATCTACTGCCATAAAAACCTCAAGCAAGATCCCTTTGAGTACGCTGATCATCGGAATAGAGCAAAAATCAGCAACAGTGGTTACACGTTTCCTTTGCTCACTTTACAAACATGAAATCGTTGAAATAGTTAAAATTAGCTGAATGCATGTACCAGAAAGACTGGAGACAATGATTAGAGTACGAGGGCAGACTCAAGGCCTGAAACAACGCCACAGCCGAAAGGTGCACTTTATGAGTAAGAACGTCTACAAAGAAATCTTTTGGCATAAACGTTCTCACATTCCCGGGTATTTTTATAAGAACCAGCAGACTAGATGATCAGCTCAGTGTTTTGTTCGTTTCATCTAAGAAAGCAATGTTACAGTAAATGGCATTGCATGTGAAAGATATAACATGACATTTTTTTTTTTCACCCCAACATAACATTCGAGCACTTGCTGAAATGTAAGGAAGATTTGTTCTGGATGCTAAATTTTTTAAAATCTGAAGCACAAGTGCAAGCAAATTATTTTTCTCTGCCAGGTACAGCCTAATTACAGCCTAGAAAATTACAAGCATTACGAAATGTAACTCACTCATTCTTAACTTGTGTTAGTTCTTCTGACAGCTGCTTCAGTTGGTCACGCAGCTCCCTCTTCTGCCTGTCAAGTTCACTGCATACACATTTGTACCTGTCCGCACGAAGCACAGCATCTTCAAGCTGCCGAGCATAGTTAGTCAGCACTTCACGTTGGCGAAGGTTTTCACAAGACAAGAAGTCTGCCTTTTCTTTCAAGATACCAAGATTGTGGGTGGCATCTGAAAGCTTTACTTCTACTTCTTCCCTAACTTCATGGCATGACTGAATGATTTCTTCAAGTTGTTCTTTTTCTTTCAGCAGCTTTGCAATATCATTTCTTGCTGCTCTGTTTGCATCCTCCAGTGTGATAATTTCCCTGCTGAATTTCACGTTGCTACTCTGAAGGCTGTCAACTTCAACAAGTGCTGAAGCAAGTTTCTCTTCCAGGCTTGTTTTGAGTGTTAGCACATCGCCATAGCTATCCAGTTGCTCTAGCATGTCCTGCTTCAGCTGCTCATGAAAAGAAATTTCATCATGCAGATGGGCCACTGAAGACTTAAGCTCAGCTACTTCACAGAAAGCTTCGTCAAGTTTCGATTGCAGGGCTTCATTCATTTCCGAAACTTGGTTCAATTTGGTCATCAGCACTGTTTTCTCCTCCTGATGTTGCATGGATTCATAGTGAAGCTTGTCAAAGTTGGCTGTAAGGGTTTCCAGTCTATTTTCTATTGTTGCTTTCTCCAAATGAAGCTCTACCACCTTTTTTTCAATCTCTTCTTTTTCCAATTTCACATGAGAGAGAGTACTACTAAGTGCACTAAGCTCTTGCTTACAGTCATCTACGGACTGTGCCTCCCTTTTCAAAATATCGTTTTCAAGGAGAAGTTGTTCAACTTGTGTCAGCATGTCAGTGTTTTCCTGCTTATGGCGTAAGAGCTCACGATGTAGCTCAGAAACCTCTGTCTCAAGATTCTCTGTTCTTACTTCCAGAGAGAACTTCTGTTCATAAGTTTGTGCCATCTTCTCCTCCAACTCTTGCTGATATGCCTTCATCTGCTCAACTGTTGCAAGGAGCTCTTGCTTTGAATCAATCAGAGACTGTGCTTCGTTCTTCAGCAGGTTATTTTCAAGAACAAACTGATCGACTTGAGACTGTAGATCAGTAGTCTCCTCTTTCTTGCATACAAGCTCGTCCTGTAGTTTAGCTTGTGTGGCCTCCATGTTTTCAATACTTGCTACCATAGAAGACTCCTTTGCGCAAGCTTCTGCTAGCTCCTTTTCCAGTTCTTGTTTCTCAGCTTTCATGCGGTCCACGATTGCAGTGAGCTCTTTTTTGTCATCAATCAATGAGCGTGCTTCATTTTTCAGCACATCATATTCAACGACCAATTTCTCCATTTCCGCCTGCTTCATTGCACATTCTTCTTTATAATGTAGCACTTGAAGATGAAGTTCACTAAACTTTGCTTCAGTATCTTCTATTTTTTCTTGAAGAGAGGACTTTTCTAAGCGAATTTCTACAACATTCTTCTCTAATTCTTCTTTTTCTGTCATTATCTGTGCCAGCCTGTCAATTTCTTGCTGACAACAGCTTGCATTTTCTTGTCCATGAGCATCCAAGAAATCAGTTTGTGAAGATGTGCTTGTCAAGATGGAGCCTGCAATAAAGTTATAAGTTGTGGAATTTCAATACACATTTTCAGTATTTTGAATATAAATGACCACATAGCAATATTGAAATAAGGTAAAACACAGAAAAAAAACATTAAAGATGCTGACAGCACAGTTATACAACAAGAGCAAGATAAATGCTGGGAGTAGGACATGCCTGCATAACATCCCATGCAGAGTTTCTGCTACACCAACATATCTTCACAAGCTAGCCTAAATGGACATTAAGGACAAATATTAAGTCACTGTTGATTGCTGAAATAGTGGTCCAGAAACCTCATAGTGCTATTTTTGTGCCAAGGAAAAACTTATTTTTGAGATAAAACAATGTTTTAGTGGTCCACATGACGTTAGCACACTTCAAATCTCTCGCCTGAAAGCGGTCCGTCTCACGTCACTGTTGCCGTGCACAACGTTGCCTGGTTTTACTGTGCCACCGCAAACACTAGTAACAGCAGAGCGAAAGTAGCAGGAGCCACAGCAGCAGCAACGGCCGTTGAACAATTTTCTGCTTGCCTGGTTCAACTGAGCCCCGCTAGATGGTCCCACCTATCCAGCCTAACCAGGCGAAAACAGCATTTTTGAACTACTCGCGCAATTCCCCGTAGTAATGCCAGGCGATTCTTTTTTCTTTAAGTCAAGCAGCAACGGACAAGCAGCATTTTATTAAGTCTCACTATGCACGAAAGGGCTGTTAATATTGCAGTTTTAGACATGATACATTGAACTTTCACTCTTACAAATTATTTGTCTTCAGTGTCCTTTTAAAGGGGTTTATACCACAAATGAGCAAAAGCATTGATACCCTGGCAAACATCTTTGAAAATAAAATTCTATGCTTCATATTATTCGTGCAACACTTTGTGCAACACTGGAAAAGTCTATAACAGATGAGCACAAAAAATGGCTCGCATTTGCTATTATTACAGAAGAGAACAATAATTCGATCATTGGCAACCACTGACTTACAATCTCAAGCACGTTGCATTATTAGTGACACCTAGCTGTCTGATCATGCAGACAAATCTGTAGAAACACTACTCCTATACTGTAGCATAATTAGATAATATATCTGAGGCCACTTGCATTGGTCATTTATGAGACATAAGACACAGAAAACGACAGTATACAACATAAGAGAAGTGAAGTTACATATATAAAAGCCTCCTCTTATTTGGTGACGTTACCTCTTGCACCAAATTTTTGGTTTCGAAGTCTTAAGTAGAAGCACAGCTATTCTACTGAACAATCATAAGTGCTAGAAAGTTCACACTGCTACAAATAGACGTCTGCTATCGATGGTTTGAATTGCAACTTTCCAGACATTCCGTGCCATTCACAGACACACTGCGCCACGCACAGTGAATGAGAAGTATATTGATAAGACGGATGCTTGGGCTAGTTGGCGATTTGGCATCAACACATTTGCACAGCGCAAGAAAACAAGCAGTTATGACATAACTACTTTATTAATAAAAACACTGGAAATATATACACATGTTAGCCAGCAGCACAACACAGTACAACTGTGCAACCTATTGCGTCACAGTCACACACTAGATATATCATTCAGTTTTCTTGTACTGTGCAAATACGTTGAAGTATAGTTTTTTTTGTGCAGTTTGTATTCTTGCTACATGGCCTTGATTTTTTAACACGTTCTGAGGTTGCACGATCGTCTAAGTGGAAAGCAATAATGGCCGCCGCTGCCGCTGTATGCAGTGCTTGCACACGTGTGAAATGATTGCAGATGTTGGCATTTCGATGTTTGCGAATGATCTTGAAAATTCAACGAGTAACATGAAGTCTTAGGATGCTGCCTTTTCGTCTACGACCATGCCAACCAGCCCGGGAACTCTGTCATCTTTGCTTTCTGCTCGAGGCTGTCTCATTTCACATTTCAGCACCAGCCTACCAAGATGTACACTTAGAGAAACTAAAAAATGCATGTGAGACTAGAAATCCAAGCAGAAAAATACAGGACTGCAAAACATGCAACAGTATGCTATGCTTTTTTCCGAGAAACTGCTTTACTGCATGAAACGTGCCATTGCAGTGCTTACAGTAAGATTTTTGTTGAGGATGTCCTGTTGAATCAGAAAGTGAATTTTTCAGACGGCTGCATGTTTTGTATATCTAGTAATTTTTGCTATATGATATTTCTTTCTCAGAAGCACTTTACAAACTGTTAACACTGTCCTGCATTCTCTATTCTGTCAATTTATAATGCTCCCATAACATTCATTTCATTGATGAAACTTGTATGGGCAAAAAGTTTATTCATTCTGCTTTTTGTTAATGTATCACACCAATTGCAGAAGTATAATAAAATTCTATTCTTTCGGCAACTGATCAGTCATAGCATTTGAGCAATTTATTAACAATGTTAAAGCAGCTTACTCTCAGTGTATGAGCACAATACAGGTTTCACACTGGTTTTCAGCTCTGAGAAACCCATGGATAACAACAACCCTCTTACAAAGCATTAATAATTGTGAAAATCTTCACAAAAAGGTCAAGCTTCAGCCTTTCAATGTAACGTTAAAGTCGCGATACGCAACTTATTCTAATCCACTCGGCCGACTCTTGAAAGAAGCCAAGTGCGCCTACTTTCAGAATGCAGTAATTCAACACAAAAATGACACTCGTAAAACATAAGATACAATCAGGTCATTTTTTCATGTCTTCACCCAGCCACAATCCTAATAGGCTGAATACAGGAACAATGATGGTAACGGAAGCCACTGACATTGCAAATGAGTTCAATGCTTTCTTCTGTCTTGCACCTGATCATTCCCTCGACAGTATACCACAGTCAACACTCAATCAGATCACTTATTTATTTTACCTATATCCCACCCACATCACCGAAAGAAGTATCCGATGCAGTCACTAGTTTACAGACTACTGGAGCCGGTCCTGACGATTTACAGTATGAAGAAACGAACCCAAGTAAGGCATTGTGACTTTTCGAATTGCACGGCAAACTTTTTCGGCAATGACAGAAATGGCGGCATCAGTATCGATAAGGGCAAGTACAGGTACACCTTCCAGGTTGGCATTAATTACATTTGGCGGCGAACGAAGAGGGCTTGTGCTTTGTGACGACGATGCAGTTCTTGCCTCGGGAACTGCGTCATTTAGTTTTCCGCGTCGATTGTAAGGGGGCGTCGGTGTATCAAGGAGAGCGAGTGACGACGTGAAGGAGATCGGCGATGAGAAGGTGGTCGGTGGCTTGGTCGAGGAGGGTGCAATTCCGGGTCTGGAGTGTAGGAAAACATGTGGCCGTACTCATATGAACGTGGGTCTTCTTGTGAATGGAGTGGGCGACGGCGGCATAGACGTCCGACGTGTCCGGGTAGACCACACAAAAAGCAGATCGGTCGGTTGTCGGCAGTGCGCCATAGATTAGGGACTCGGTGGACTGGAGGTCGTGGCGGCTGGGCGGCATAAACAGGACCAGGCATGGAGGTGGCGCTCGGAACGTCTGTGGTCGAGGTCGTGTTGCTGCTTCTGCATACGTCAATGGTGCATTGACTGGTGGCACACGCTGTGGAGGAAGGACCTCAGACACTTCGTCTTGTATAATAGTCCGTAATGTAGGGCCAAGCGGCACACTGTGCTCCGGTAGGCCGCAGATGAGCGACAGTTGGTGGGCAACTTCTTCGCGCACAAAATCTTTTATCTGCGAGACTGCACAGCCTGTGCAGCCTGTGGCGGCGTGTACCGCCAGACTTGTAATTCAAGGAATTCCCTACACAGTGCAGTTCGTAGTACTCCCGCACTGTTCTCACGACATCATTTTAGGCTGGGATTTTCTCTTCCATCACCAAGCCATCATTGATTGCGCCTGTGCCGAAATAGTCTTTTGTCCTCTTGGTGACGCTCTACCTGCGGACGATCGCCCTTCCTACGCGAAGTTGGTCATTGGTGACTACACTCAAATCCCTCCGCGCGCTACTGTGTTCGCACCTGTGTCGTGTTCCGCCGCTGTCGACGCTACCGCAATCTTCACGCCTTCTGTTGCTTTTGTTCATCGCCACCTATCGGCGCTCCCAACCGCTCTCGTTACTCTTCGAGGTGGTGCAACGGACATGCCTGTGGGGAATCGGTTCCCATTCACAATTACGCTGCTTCGGAGCGAATGTTTCGTCTCAATCGAATCATTCGAAACCATCGCTACACTTGATGTTTCTGATGAATCATCAGAAGTCAGCACCCTTTCCTGTAGTTCCGTGAATGGCCCTTCCACTGCCGACATTTTCAACCATGAAATCGACAAAGGTCTAAACCCACAACAGAGGTGCGAGTTTTTGAGCCTTCTTGACCATCTTTTCGGCCATCTTTTGAAAGTCACAGCCCTACCTTATGTCGAACATATACTGTATGCCACCATATCGACACAGGTAATCACCCACCACTATGGCAGCGACCGTACCGTGTTTCATCGACTGAACGCCGTGTCATCAATGAACAAGTAGGTGACATGCTAAAGTGCGGTGTCGTTCAACTATCAAACAGTCCTTGGGCGTCGCTGGCTGTTTTAGTTAAAAAGAAGGGTGGCACGATACGTTTTTGCATAGATTATCGTCGTCTAAACAAAATAACACGAAAGAATGTTTATTCTTTGCCTCAGATCGATAATGCCCTCGACTCTTTACAAGGCGCAGAGTTCTTTTCCTCCCTTGATCTGCGCTCTGGTTATTGGCAAGTGCCCATGAATCCGGATGATAGGCCAAAAACTGCCTTTGTTACACCAGACGGCTTATACGAATTCGACGTGATGCCATTCGGCCTATGCAATGCGCCGGCAACATTTGAGCGCATGATGGGCCCTATCCTACGAGGCCTCAAATGAAACACGTGTTTGTGCTACTTAGATGATGTGGTGGTATTCTCGCCTGATTTTCCGACGCACCTTCGTCGCTTGCAACAGGTTCTATGCTGCCTTTTTGCAGCTGGCCTCCAACTAAACTTGAAGAAGTGT